TTTTTTTTTTTTTTTTTTGTGTCTTGCTACTTTATTTTTAGCTCTCACTAGACCAATTTTTCTCAACGATACGTCAAAGATCACAAATCGTATTTAGTTGAAGACATTACCCTCAAAAATTGAAAATTCTGTCTTCATTCCCTGTCAATTACGATTTTTAGAATCGGTAAATTTCGCCTTTTTTTTTCTAATAATTGCCATAACTTATTGAAAAATGGACAAATCAAAATAATTATTTTTTAAATTGAAACCTTAAATATTTATCTTTGATTTGATATAAATTTTTTGAAAATCTGTCCCTTTACCTGCCCATAGGAGGGATTCAAAATAGGAACTCTTGCTTAAAAATTTAACTTTTTCAACTTAAGTTTTAAAAATGTTACAGAAATACTCCGAGCTTCAAACATATGTTAAACTCAAGATAATTTTATGCACTATAAGTTCAAAAAAAAAAGAATTGTGCCGACGATTTGTCTTCTATGTGCAAATGGTTGCTATAGATAAAAAAAACATGCAATTTTAGTGTTAAAATTTACGATTTACGATTTTATTTTTTTAACTTTAAATTACTATTACTTTTTGAAAAATGTATGGATCAATACAAATTTTTGTTTCAAAATAAATTATATATATATATATATCTTTCATCCGATATACTTTTTTTGTAAATCGGACCATTTCTAATATTTAATATTATGTAAATCGCCAAAACTTTTTTAAAAATGACAAAATTGATATCGTTTTTTTTTTATAGATACATTAGGTATTTACCTGTCATTTAGTATATTTTTTTTATATATATTTGACCCTGCCTACAAAGGAGATTCAAAATGACAAAATTTTCACAAAAAATTAACTTTTTCAACTTAACTTTTGAAAGTGTTCCGAAAATACTGACACTTTTATATATATCTTAAATTAAAGTTTATGTAATATACTTTAATATTAAAAAAAAAAATTTTGGACTTTATTTTGTCTTCACGGTGAAAATGGCTATTGAATGCTATTTTTGTGTGAAAATTCTGGATTTTATATTTACATATATAAGTCTATATTTATATAACTTTTTGAAAAATGTATGGATCAATACAATTTTTTCATGAGATGTAGTATTTATATACATATTTCATTCAACATACTCTTTTTTAAAATCAGACCATTTCCCTTTATGCAGGGGGGTTCAAAACAAAAAAATGTTAAAATAAAATGTACCCTAAGCGTGAAAGACACTAGTGTTACCGATTGGGCAACTGTTCGTCGCATGATAAAATTAGCAATTTAAGCTGATTCAAAGTTATGACGCTGTCATGTACGACCTATATAGTACTACAACGTCGGGCGGCGCTTCACCGACAGTTCGAACACGCCTTAACTCCATCGTCGGATCCCACAGCTGACAAATCGATGTCAGGTCGATAAAAAAAAAAAGTTCATTTTCCAGAGTACCTACACGCAAACGGTTAAACGTGTGTATAGTACGCGTCGAGTCTGCACTAATGATATGTCACAACCCTATATACCGGCATGCCAATTCACCCCCGACGCTGTCGTTTAAGTTTAAGTCGATATTTTGTAAATGATGAATACCCCTTCTATGTGGTTCCATTACACATTCCAGACATTCCGACAGTCGTTGTGTTTGATAAAAAACCACCGAACACGTGCATAACGCGTAGGCGCAATATCTCACCGCATTACTACAAGGCCGTTTGTTGTTTACAGCATTGACCCTTTGCTGTTTATGTACTACTATATACCCTTTTTTTTTTTGAAACATTGAAATACAATGTACATTTTTTATTGATGCGTACTATTTATACAGTATAAATAGCCGTCGTTTGTTGATTTTGAAATTAATGTGTTAGGTATAGTAAAATAAATCTGATTTTTAAACACATATCTATAACAAAAGTGACAATTGTGACTGCAATATGAAGTTTGATTTATTAGAAACACCCCTTTGCCCACTTTTTCCGCTAACTTGACGGAGTCCCACCACTTCGGTGCGAAGCCGGCACAAGATTTTTTTTGTTTGTTAGATAAATGGTGTGCTTTATAATACACCACGTCTCCGACTGTTAAAGATTTTACTACTACTAAGGTTTTACTTTACCTAAGTAAAGTATATAATATAAGCTTTTATTTAAGATTAAATAAAACTGAATATTTCCGGAACATTTTCAAAAGTTGAAAAAGTTCTACTTTTTATACGTATGTTTCAAGTTTTAAACCCTCCCTGTATAAAGGGAAATGGTCCAATTAAAAAAAAAAAAGTATGTCAACTGAAAGAAGTAAACATAAAGTAGTTATGAAAAAAAATTGTATTGATCCATACATTTTTCACAAAGTTATAGTAATTTAAAGTTGAAAAAATAAAATCGAAAATTTTAACAACAAAATTGCATAATTTTTAACAACAGCAGCTATTTGTACATAGAAGATAAGTCGTGGGACAAATTTTTTTTTTTTAATTTATAGTACATAACATAAGATTAATTTGATATATGTTTAAAGGACGCAGTATTTCCAAAACATTTTCAAAAATTAAGTTGAATAAGTTAGTTTTTAAAAAAAAATTGCTATTATAAAACTCTCCCTGTGAGCAGGTTAAGTGTTATATTTTCAAAAAAATGATATCAAATAAAAGGTAACTATCTAAGGTTTTAATACAAAAAAAAATTATGTTGATTTGTTCATTTTTGAAAAAGTTATGGGAGTTTTAAGTAATAATTTTTTTAAAAATGTCGAAATTTACCGATTTTAAAAATTGTAATTTTTTTGGAGATTACCCCCATTTACGGGGAACGAGGAAAAATTTTAATTTTTTAAGGATAATGTTTCCAACTAGATATGATTTGTGATTTTTTGACAAATTGTTCATCAATATCGCAGAAAAAGTGGCAACAGACACAAAAAAAAAACACATCATGGTAAAATTAATACCTTCTCAGCTTCGCATTGAAGGTAAAATAAGATAAATTTAAAATTACATAAATTTAAAAAAACCCAGCACAGGGGGGTCGCGGCACAGTGGTGACGTGGCATAGATGGATCAAGTATAATGATATCTGACAGTGATTAAAATCACTATAAAAAAAAAACGCTTCGATGCAAATCTTTAGATAGTGTTTAATTTTAAAAAATTGGTGGATTATTCTAAAAGCTACATGATATGCTAGTTCATTATTAATATCCTAATTAAGATAAAGTATGTCGAATGAAAAAGGGATTATTAAAAAATATTATTTCTCATAAAAAATAATGTTGATTCATACACTTTTCAATATGTCATAGCATTATAAAGTTAAAAATGTAAAAAATAAAATCGAGAATTTTCACACAATAATAGCATTCGGTAGCCATTTTCACCGTGAAGATAAAATAAAGTCCGAAATTTTTTTTCGCATAATAAAGTATATTACATTAGCTTTAATTTAAGATATATATAAAAGTGTCAGACCTTCTGGAACATTTTCAAAAGTTAAGTTGAAAAAGTTAATTTTTTGTGAAAAAGTTGTCATTTTAAATCCCCCCCTGTGGGCAGGTTAAGTGTCAGATTTACAAAAAATATATACCAAATGATAGATAAAGATATCAAGCATTTATAAAAAAAAAATTATATTGATATGTTCATTTTTGAAAAAGTTATGGCAGTTTTTAGTAAAAAAAATTGAAAATTTTTTGAAAATTAGCGACTTTTTAAATTTGTAATTTTTTTGGAGGTTTCCCCCATTTACGGGGAACGAGGGAAATTTTTTCAATTTTTGAAGGTAATGTCTTCAACTAGATACGATTTGTGATCTTTTGACGTATCGTTGAAAGAAATCCGTTCGGTGAGAGCTGAGTAAAAGTGGTAACAGACACAAAAAAATAAAAAAAAAAACACATCATAGTAAAACCAATACCTTCTCAGCTTCGCATCGAAGCTAATATAACTGAAATTAAGCAAAAATTGTTTTATTTACTAAGTTTATTGTTTCTCCTGAACAATAGTCATTTTTGTCTAATGCTCTTTCTTCCTAACATCATTCAATTTAAAAATGACTTGATCAAGTTAAAAAGCATACATAATGTAAAATGTAATTTACCTTCGTTAAATATCAAACAGATAATTATCAACAAAAAACTTATCAATTGCCAACTCTAGAATAAAGTAAAATATTTTTTTAGTTTTCAATCTAATTTTTTATGTGTATTACTCACCTTCATTTTTACTCTAAGTGTTATATTCTGAAAACTAATGACTATTTTTGGGTTAAATTGGTGTATATATTTAAAGAATCATCGATATAATTTATTTATTTATTTCATATTCTTTAATTTAATCATAAAGTGTAAACAAATATACAGGATGGTCTACGATATTTTGACAAATATAATAATTTTTGATTCAGCAAATATTTTGTGTTACTTTTTTTTAAAAAATCAATTTTCAGTTTTGGACTATATTAAAAGCATATTTTATATTATTTGTCAAAATAAGAAAAAATATGCTTATAACGAAGTTCAAAACTGTAAAATTGATTTAAAAAAAAAAGTAACGCAAAATATTTGCTGGATCGAAAGTTATTATATTTGTTAAAACATCATAGACCACCTTGTATACTTTATTATTTACTTAATTATTTTAGTCAACCTACTCATACACATGTAAAAAAAGCTTGCTAAATCGGGATTGAAATAATCACATTCTTGCTTTAAAAAATAGGGCAAATTATTAATAGAAATATAATTATATACATATATTTTATCAAAATGAAATAATATAAAATTTATTTTAAGAATCTATTAATAATAATAATAATTCTATACTTTGTTTGAGCCACAAAGTTTTAATCAAGCAAGTAGCAAATATTATGATGCTTCAAATTGAACATGAGAAGTTATTATTTGTGTATACTATTAATTTATTTTTCTTCTAAAAAAAATTACCTTTTATATTTGCTAGTTAACTTAACTTAAGTTGAAACTTTGTTATTATTTTATAAATTAACTAGTAATTTAACTGAGATTACTATTTCAACTAAGTAACTTATATCTCAGTGAAACACGCGGGAATGACATGCACTTATGGAAAAACTAAAACTGTAATCTGTGATTTATTCGTACAGTTTCCAAACATAAATTTATTTAATTACTAACTTCCTGACAATCCTTTGGAAAACTTACAGATTTTTAATTGAAGGTTTTTTTTTTCAAAAAAGAAAATATGCATTATTATTAAATATACGGGTATTGATACGCAGTGATTTTTTTAAATTATAATTATCACGAATTGTTTTAAACAGATCTATTTGATAACATAGGCTNAAATTATAATTATCACGAATTGTTTTAAACAGATCTATTTGATAACATAGGCTATTGTAGGAACTTTTAGGGAGTTGACATTGACTTGTTTACGATTAGTTAAGTGGGGCATTGGTATTTGGTTATGAATAATCTAAATTTTCGGAGAATTCATCGGGAGCGAGTTATGGGAGAACATGTTCGTAAAGATTTCATTGTATTGTTTTTTTTTTTTGATATGTGTATTAGAGTATATTCTGTAATAAATTATTGTGTTTTTTTTAACTTAACCTTGTTTTTATATTTTGTCGTGCCGTGGAGCATACAACAACATGTTTTCTTATGGCAAAAACAACGCTCTTTACAATACAATAGTGTATTATGTCGTATCTATAAAATTTAATGCATAATACTAAATATTATTTATCAATTACAGAAAATGATAAATTCTAGACTACTCACTATGCTATATTAGACGAATTTCATAAATACAACAACTCTTGAAATATTTTTGTTCATGAAAGATCAATGCTGTGCTAACTGTTATTGGCGTCCCTCATATTTAACACGAGTATAAATTTAATATACTTTCCATGATAGATTTTACATTCATTACACTGTATATCAAAACTGCTCACTCGCTCACAATAACTCCCTAATCACAACAATATATACAATATAATATATTGAAAAATTATATCATTTATTTTTTGTTATTTATAACTAACAATTATTATTGGTATTTTTTTTTTATAATTATTCTTGCACATTGTATATTAAAAAATAAAATTTAAAGGAAAAGTAACTAAAAAACAAATTCTGAACATACTACACATAACACAATACATAAGACTTGTCATTGATGATTACATCAATATTATAATATTTTATATTATAATACAACAATTGTACGGGGATAGTCATACAGTAATAAATCTGATATATAGTTTTAAACAAACTAAACAAAATATTGGTTTTCTAATTTATTTTTAGCTTTGGTTCTGCCCAATGTCTATCGTTTGAACCCTCGTGCGTTTGAAGTATTTCTTTGATATTTTGTAATGAAAGTCACATACGTGAGTTTTACTAATTTCTAAAAAATAAAATCCACATATTCCATTTGCAAAACTCAATGATTTTTCATTCAATCATAAATGCTAATTGTAGTGCAATGTTTGAAATTAATCATTTGGCTGCTCGTTTCGATTATTAACTAGATCCATTTATGTTTTAAATTGCAAACTTTCCACCAGTTTATTCATTTACAAAACGTTAATATTAATATGTTAGTATGTTTTAATGAATTTAATATTAATGTTTTATATTACAATTATGTTCATAAAATTCTGGTTTTATTTATTGTTATTAAAATTTTGCTTAGTAACCAATCTATTCAATCTCTAAATTACGTTATTTAATTTTTAAACAGATTTCAGTTTTCGTTTTATGTTGCATTTGTTAAATTGAATACGTTACATTTTATCCGATTAAACAAAAAATCTAAGTAAAACTTATTAAAAATCTGTGTTAAATAGTCAATTATTTTTTATTGCCTATAATGAATAATTTAAAATACTTCCAAGATTCTCTGGACTTTAATATGGAAGAACGTAGTGA